AAAAGTCTTAAGACAGCGCTGGACAGTTTAAAGCTACATATGACACAGACTATTATTATAATGTTGGCTTTGACAGGTGCGCTTCCTAATGATACCTCCATTCTGAGACCTACATTCTGTTATGTCTTCATTTCTTATGTTTATTATTGTGTGTGTTTTGCAGCCCAATGAAGCTTTTGAACAGACACAATGAGGTTTGGTTTATTCCTAAGGGTGAGCCTGTGTGTCCTTAGAGTGAATCATTTCTCTGAGGCTCCTCTCTAGCAAGGTAAATAACCCATCTAAATAAAAAGTCTTACCATTAATAATCATTTGGAGGACTGTCTTGTCTAACCATATATTTATTTGTAATATCTGTTTCAGAGCAACAGAGAACAGATCTGTATAACTCCTGAGTGCTACAGTCCTAACAAGCTAGATACAAGTACTTTGTCCTGTATAGGATTTTGTACTATAAATACAATTTGAATGGAGAACGTTTAAAAAAATGATGCCATTTGTCTAAGGAAAAGGTCAAATGCTTAAAAAAATGATGCTATTTATCGAAGGAAAAGGTCAAACTCGAAAGAGTGGTATTTTTTTCTATACGCATTTTATATGTTTTAACAAATAAAATAGAAACATCATTGTAAACATCTTGTGTATTGTATTATTGGGGTTTTTTTTTTACAATTATTATATATTGCATAGCCAGTGCAGGTTAAAAAATGGCCACAATTGCTAAATTTGACAGACTAGATGCTGTGGATGCAGTCAAACACAAAAAAATTACACTGAAAATATGCAAAACCTTACTAAACTGTAGGCTGTGGAGCCAGAAACATTTACTGCCACACCGATTGTTTTAATAAGTGACCGTGAAACTCAAATGCTTGTATGTTTTATACATTTATTACATAATATATTTAAGTAAATTAATGCAGTGTGCCACTTTTTGGACATAATCACAGGCATTTCTAGTACTATTATTTCAGACATCAAAAAAGGGCTCAATTTATTTTAAATTGATCTGAAAGTTTCATAAGAAAAAAACAAGTAAACGATTAGGCTGTACATGAATAATCCATATGCAGAAGCTTTTAATTATAATCAACAGAGTAAAATTGTCTATTATAGTGCCACCTAGTGACATGTTTGCATCTTTGATTAATATACGCTTGTATATGATAATAACAAAGCAGCTTGCTTTGATCCTTAGTAATGATAGTTTTTCCACATTTTAAGTTTTAAATGTACTGTGTTTAAATGTAAATCACATTAAACTGATTTTTAAAAATAAGTATAGCTTAAAAAAAAAGATTTATTTTGATGAGGTATAGCAATGTAAAAACACGTTGTCATAAACACGTTGTCACATTGTCCGCATCAAGACTAAACAATAGGAGACACAATAGTTTCCTTACAGCTAACCCTTTGATTGCAGCCTGGACCACTTTCCCATGAGATCTCAATGTGACCATCAAACAAGGTCTAAAGTTTTGTGTAGGATATAGTTACTTGGCTATGAAACGTGATGTCCTTAAAGAGACGTTAAAGCAAAAATATTTACATTTACAGAACCGTCTATATGGGCTAACAAGCATTTCTCAAAGGCATAAAGTTGCAGTTTGTCCCCTGAAAAACATATTCCTCTTCTACTTCAAGAAGTTAAGCAATATTGACATTTAGCCCACTTAAAAAACATCTGGATGACTTTACACACCATGAACAGAGCTGTGCTCAGTCTGCGGTCAAAGGTAATGTTTGCTTATTTCATCTATCCCCCAAACAAACAACAACAAAAAAGGTTTTTTGAGGACATAATCACAAATTATCTATTAAATATAAATGCGACCAACATCATGAGATGTACATGAAAGTACGTCAATCAATATACAGTACTGTATGGATAAACTAAATATTGCACACGGCTACATTTGACAATATTATAATCGATTCAAAGGGCCTTTCAACCCCAAGGATAGAAAAAAAAAGATGAAATACAGTCCCTAGTGGATGGGATGAGCCTCTCTTACTTAACATGCTTATATGACTGCAGGGTTGGAGTGTGTCCTGTAGGAGGGAACAGATTTCATAACATTACAAGTATAAATAGCCTGTAGGCACACGTTTACACACACACACGCTTCCTCTCTTCTCAGCCTGAAGTTACAGAATTCGACAACATGTAAGTACAGACACTTTTACTCTCTCTCTAACTTCTAGAGCACCCTAAATGAAAGCTAATTCTTTCTGTTTTTGCATGTTTTAAAGGATTTTCCTGACAGGGGTGACCGTGCTGCTCTTTGCATTGACTGTAGATGCAAGAGTCGGGTGAGATTCATGTTTCACAGTCTACACCAAAAACACTATACTGTACGTGCACTAGTGTCATATTTCATGCATTTTGTTTCCACATCGCAGTGAATCCACCAGTGATAGTTTCTGCACTGAGACGAAAGAGTGCTTGCAGTATGACTTGGTTTGTGCCGGGAAGGAATATGAGGTGAGATACAAGATTAGAGCATAAATGGCTAGAAATGAAATGACCAGCTCAAACACATCAACCGGTGTGAAGTATGAAGTATTCTTCTCCTACAGGTACGCCACTATGGTGCTGTTAAGTGGGTGACCACAGAAGCTGAATCCATTTTCATGGATGTTGCGATTCCAAAAGCATTCAGGAAACTTCTCAAATACATCACCGGAGAAAATGAGGCTGGTGAGTTTTTGCGGGTCAGATTTTGCCAATCGTGCGGGTGCAAATGTCTTTAAAACCTGACTTCACTATTTTTGTAGGGACAAGATGTATATGACTTTCTTTCTTCAGATGAACACAAACAAAGGGTTTTATACAAGTAATTAATACATGTGAGTCCATATAATGCAAGTATGAGACCGCAAAGCTGTCACTTTAAATTAAAATGACACAAAGTGAACAGACAGGAATCAATCAATATGATCCGGATTGATGAATCTAAAGAAACGACATGCGTGTAGGAAAAGACTTTAATATATATATATATATATATATATATATATAAACGATTACTTACACTTACATCTGCAAGATCCCATGTCTGTTAAAGATCAATTCATCTGGAAAACATCTGCTGTTTACTAACATCTGATAGACGTCTTTAAGATGTCAGTTTAATATCCCAGATAGTCTATTTGATGTGATATTTACAACTGGAAGATGTATTTTTAAAGGGTTAGTTCACCCAAAAATGAAAATTAATTCATTAATTACTCACCCCCATGTTGTTCCAACCCCGTAAGTAGGGTTGGGTATCGTTTGAATTTGAACGATTCTGATTCCGTTTCCGATTCCGATTCCTAACGATTCTCTATTCCGATTCTTTTAAGAGGCAGGGTCAAAAAAGTTTAGCTAACCTTGCTAACCAACGGTCTTTCGGAAGGAAATAATCCTTTCTGAAGGAAATACTCCTTCTGTCACAAATACTCCTTCTGTCACAAATACTCCTTTCGTCACAAATGCATTTGCATTTTGCCGAGATTTCGTTATTTTTAGAAAAGTGAAGCCGCACTTTGGACCGCCGACGTAAACTACTCATGTTCGACTCGCGCGGTTATGCCAACACTTCCGGTAGACGCTTCTTCGTTGGTGTTGTTCAGTGGTTTCTTCTTCCGCTCGGCGGACTGTGAATATCGAAACTAGGAATTGAAATTTTTACTTTTGAACGATTCCGGGAAAAACGAAAAGTTACTCTCGGTTCCAATCAATACTCGATTCTCGATACCCAACCCTACCCGTAAGACCTTCGTTCATCTTCGGAACACAAATAAAGATATTTTTGATTGAATCTGAGAGCTGGATCAGTCCTACATAGACTTCCTAAGGGACTGGCTCTTGACGGCCCATAAAGTCATTAAAGAAAAGGTTTAAATATTCCATGTGCCTACAGCGGCTCAATTATAAGTTTATCAAGCGACGAGACTACTTTTTGTGCGAAAAAAACATAAATAACGACTTTATTCGACTATTCTATTACTTCCTTATGGGCGCATGTGCGAGAACTGAGACAAGGACGTTCTCCTTCGACTACTTTTTGTTACCGGCTGCTCACCGCTTAGAAGTATTACCGCCATCAGTATCATTCAATTCAGAAAGAACAATAAGACGGCTGACAGGACGAGTTAAATATTTCCCTTTGCTGAAAATCTCAGCAACTCTCACTCTTCCATCAGGGCTTGAAAAATCTTACTGACAGTCCTGATAGGCCAGTGTCTACAAGGAAGCTGAGGTTCCACAATCATGACAATGGCAGAAGGAGCAATAGGATTACCATCAAGTACCCACTTTTGACGAGTTTGAAGACTTGGAAGATAATCTCTAACAAAACTGACCCAGTATTAGTCCGCAAGAACTTGACTGTGTCTACACTTTCAATGGGTAAGTAGTTCTGAATCTGCATACATCACTTGAGGAAGAGATGCATCTCGCCACCACATCAGTAGGATATTTGGGGTGAATGGAACAGGGTCTGAAAGATTTGAAGACACATAGCCGAGAGGTTTTGAGTTTAACAATTCCGCAATTTCAACGAGCACTGTATACAGAACTTCCTCGGAGACTACTTGCATTCCCAAAGCTGCTTGTAATGCCATCTTAACAGACCGTATCTCTCTTTCTCCCAAATACCTCTGAAATGGGGAGAATATGGCAAATAAAATGAGAATTTAATTTGCTGTTGGGCAAGCATCTCCTGAAAAGAGGGACTAAGCTGCGAAAATGCCTCCCGGAGCTCTCTTTCTCCTCCCTTGAAATTAGTCCCTTGATCAGATAACATTTCATAGGGCCTACCTCTACAGGCAACAAATCTTCGAAGGGCCATGAGGAAACTGTCAGTATCCATACCAGAAAGTAGTTCCAAATGAAGACATCTGGTCATCTGGCATTTAAATATAATGCCCCACCTCTTCTCGTGTCGGCGACCTACTTTGATCGTTAAAGGCCCAAAACGATCCGTACCCGTCGACCAATAGGGAGGCTTATACAAGCGAAGTCTGGAAACTGGTAGATCAGCCATTCTGGGAACTGAAGGCACACCTTTCCACTTCCTACACTCAAGACATGATCTCTGGACCTTCTTGATTAACCGTCGCCCTCTCAGAACCCAGTATTTCCGGCAAAGCTGGGCGAACACTCTTTGTGGTCCAGGGTGATACAGAGTTGTATCATAGTCAGCAACCAAAAGTTTGGTAACATGATTCTTAGGATCTAAGACAATTGGATACATAGCTTCAAGATCCAAATCCTCGCTTTGACGAAGTCGTCCACCCACTCTTATCAGTTTTGTAAAGGGATCATACTCTGGTGCCAAACCAACTAAACAGCTGTGTGAAGGAACTCCATGACCATCTTTAAGTAGTTTATATTCCTCAGGGAAGTCTTCCATCTGGGCTTGTTGCAGGATGTATACTTCTGCTTCTGTTTGAGAAGGTTTGATCTTAGCTCCTAAGTCCAAAGAAAGGTTTTCAACAGTTGCTGCAATCAACTCTGACCAGGTATTAAACTGAGACTGACTAGACTTTGGAGAGTTAACTGGTGCTTGATTAAGCCCACAAAACAAAGGTTTTCTTAGCTCTGTCCCAACCTCCTCTGTCCTTAAGGCTGGAGATTTTGGCCAGT